CMYSATGAWGMWGMWRRAAGAAGTGGTGAGTTCTTCTTCACCACTTGTACTACTAGCTATTGCTGTCTGCAGCTCAAACTTTCAAGTATTGGTGACACATGGTGGCTGTTAGTACTAGTACTACTACTAGTACTAGTACTACTATTACTGCTGTAATACTGCTGGTGGTAGTATAACTGGCTCAAAATATTGATGACATCAATGTGCTACAGTACATACTAGCACATACAGTTCGTATCGTTGTATCCTACTTCGTAATGTACCTCGTACCTCGTATCAAATCGCGAGCAAACAGATTACGAKGCTGCACTGCAATTAAAACTCCTTGGCAAGTCCAAATGAAACCTTGCACAGTATCAAGTTCTGTAGTCAATAGAGTTGGCAAGGGTTTTCTGAACCGCTGAGGAATAAACTCGACGATGGATAAAACGAAGGGTGAAGAGGCCACAGACGGTGGCGATGGACACCATAAAGTTCTCGACGAAAGATTTTACTATTATCAGACCAAAGCTGGAAGTATTTCCAAGACGCCCCTTTCTATTCGACAGCTGATTCGTCTCTTTTGTCCAGTCCGTGAAGGATTAAATCCAATTCTACCACCGAATACTCAATGCTTGTCTGTGCTTTCCCGAGACAAACCGAATGGTGGAGAAGCATGTTACGGGGAATGGGAGGCAGCAACTCAAATCGAGATTCTTCGAAAGGCGTCTTGCAGCAGCTGGTTCTGGACAATTGAAGGATCATCCGCCAATGGGCCAGGATCTTGTCGAAAACTTCTGCAAGTAGTATTGGCTCACGGAGATAAACAAAATAGCAATATAATGTTGTTCGCGAAGGACATAACTCCTGACTGGACGACAATACCCAATKTAAAATACATGCAGTCGATACTGACAGCAATACAAGATAACAACGCCAATCAGAAACGCCAAGGAATAGAACCGACAGAGGACTCGACARAGAAAGTCGGTTTGAGCAATGTTGGGAATCTATCATCACAAAATGTTGAAAGACATGATGTTCAGCACGAGCTCGAATCCTTGCTCTCCTCSACGGCAGAAAACGGCTGTGCTAGGGTGGCATCAAACAACAAGCAACAATACGATGACCATCTGTACGAGAGTGACGGTGGAACTCGCTACGTCAAGGACCCATTGTCGGGAAACTGGATCCATGAAGCATTGGCCCCGCAAAGTTTTTCTTCCGAGACGAACAAGAAGGCAACACCATCAACAAAGCCTGGAAAAAATACGAACTCAAAAAAGTCGAAAAAGGCTAAGTTTTCCAAACGGCATGCAAAACTCTGGATATACATTTCGGGGCTTCCCACTACAGGTGTTACTGTTGAAGACTTACAGCGTTATTTTTCCAAAGCTGGAATGTTGGACTTAGATCCCGAAACACTCAAACCAAAGATCAAACTTTACAAAGACCGTTCTACAGGCGATCTCAAAGGCGATGCTTCGATACGCTATGCACGCTCCGAGTCGGTAGAACTTGCGCTGCAGATATTAGACAATTCTCTATGGGATAAAGATCATCGAATCAGAGTYGAAAAGGCAAAATTCCAAGAAAAAGTTGATGTAGGAAAGGTTAAGCTGAATATATCAACCGACGAAGTTACAGGTGGTGATGATGCTAAAACGTATATGAAACGGAAACGTCCTATATCRGAGGCGCAGCGTAAAGTAGCTCGGCTAGCATTACTGCAAGCGCAAGATGAAGGCTTTGGGGGACGTCTCACAGGTGGGCGTAAGGGTCTCTGCATCATTGTCATTAAGAACATGTTATATGGAATTCCGGAAGATGAATTAGAAGATGTTTTAGATGAGTATTTTGGAAAATTCGGGTCCATTGAGAAGATTACATGTATCTCAAAGGCTGATGTCGTGATTGTGAAGTATGGAGAGCCTATTGCGGCCTCCTCTGCTATCGAAGCCCTGAATGGCACTTCAAACCCTAGGACGCTAGTAAAGATTGAGGCACTTTATTGGGATGGAGTGACAGATTACACGACAGTAGAAGGGGATGAACACAAGGAACAAATGGAGGAAGAACGGCGGCATGAAGAATTTGGAAATTGGCTGGAATCACAAGAGGAATTGCCCCCTGAATTACAGTTGCAAGTTGCKCAGGAATGAGATGAAGATCAATGAACAATTATCTGACAACAATGGATTWAGTTACTGTAAGGGTGTAACCGATCTCATTTACTTTTGATTGCCTTTCGTGATACATTGCTATTTGTTTCATCTAAGGATAAAGCGACTTTTTGAATGAACAGGATAATAGTAGATAGATGATCCTCCCTAGGTAAATGGCTCCGTTTTGGTCATTGCTGTGGGCTGGGGTTTTGATTAGAATTTTAGATTGTTGGTCATATTTTCTTTTGGACAGAACATTTTGACAATTCACTATAGAGTCTGAATATTTTCCCTTGAGAAATGAATTCAGTAGGGAAGAATTGTGTGGAATACCTTTTATATAATAGAGCATCATCATTGATGTACGGGAACATCCACAAAGCAACCATCAAGTCTTGCATTCAGGGAAAGAAGAAGGTTAAATTGCTCTTGTTGTTCTAATACTTACCAAGTGGAGCAACTCCAGGTTTTTCAGTCTGATTGTAGTACTAGATGGGCATACCTGAAAGAGAATTTTTCATTGTTTCAGGATTTGAATATAATTTTAATAWTAATTTGCTTGATTTTATTTATTGTCCCTCCATGGTCATTTTCTAGTAAGTTGATGGGAAGGAATTCACCTGTGCTGTGTGCCATTTCAAGATACCAATCAGCTCACCAGCAAAAAAGTTCTATTCCTGCATGAAGTGKACCATRTCAATGGKTTTTCTTATCACACCACCAGATTGTTCTCCTTTGTAGTAAGTTATACTTTGTGCATTTACCCTTGAATTTCTGTGACAGATATGTCGTGCAATGAATTGGGAAAGTGAAGCATGTTGCAATCACTCTTGATGTTTTTAAAATGACATGTTGATTATTGTCATCAGTATTACTACTAGTAGTAGAACTACTGCTAGCTAATAAAAGTGTATTCTTTTTGGTGTGTTTCAACATTCCAAATTTCATTTGTATGGTCAAGACTATTCTACATTGAAGAGCCAATTTGGTTTCAAGCATATTTTGCTGTGGTTGGAGAATTTCAGYCAAAAAGTGTGAAATAATGTTTGTTAGTGCCATCATCCACTTCCAGGTTGTTTTTTRGGAAACCAAGTTTTTCATCCTTTTTACCACTACTACTAACTATGATACCCCTTGCACGTGATAGCCAATTGTTACTATTATATACTAGTAGTACTAATATTTAGWAGAAGTACCAATGGCTTGCTAAAAAATGTACTCAATGCAACAGTTCATACTAGTAGTGGACGTGCTCAACAAGAATTTATCAAAGAAGATAGGGCAGAGCTGATCTTCTCAGCTCCATACTCCCTTGATTYTAATCCAATTGAACTCRTGCTTGGATCCCACAAGGTATCTTTGAGAAGAAGTCAACATTAACCCCACCATATTGCTCATTACACCAGGGCATTGAATAGTGCCACTCTAGAGGAGAGGTGCTGATCTCATACAAGAGAAGAAGTTTCAGCAGTGTATGAACACTACATTTGCATGTGGGATGTTATTATTAACAGCATTGCTTGCAAATGACATTTGGATTATAGTAAGCAACAACAAGAAATTAGTCTTATCAATACTATTTCTTATTGAATGGAATCACCAATACACAATGATTCCAATGCCAGTTCTAGACCAACTAACAAGATATCAATTACTAAAGCTATTCCTCCTTCAGCATTATTGAATGTCATGTCCTCAACTGGTGTTTCCTTGAACTGATTTGCAGTGTATGACAGTCCCTTRAAGGAATAAATCACCACCTTTGATTTTGATTGGATTGCTTCTTGTTCAGATGCCAAAAATGCCAAATAATTAAAGATCTGATTGTTATTCAGCAMTAGGGCTTGTTCAGCTGTGACCCCAACAGGTCCTTTCCTAGTCTACATTCCAACACCTTCCCCCAAGCAAGGCTTAGATTCTACTCCCCCATGCACGAATTTCACTCCTCTTGGTCTTGGTCAATCTCTCAACTCATCACATGGGGCTGAATTTCTTGATGACAGACTTSCAGCATGAATGGAAGACAGCCAGCCTATTAATTTATCAGTAATCTGTTCTAGTTTTGTAGCAGTATCTATTCTTTTCTCCTTAGGAGATGCAAATGGAGGGAGATCACAAGACCCTTTAGGAAGCCACTCTTCTTTTCTCAGGCCAAATTGACTCATGTAGAACATCACCTTCAGTCAACCAATCAAGTGAGGGATATGTCTCATCCCTAGAATGACTGCTAAGGAGTGGTGTAATATGGTCTGGTGTATCATTTTCTCCTAGCAATTYATGATACGGATGTTGTACATGTCTCAACTCAGCTTGTGTCTACAAGGGGAAGCTTTGTCAAGGTCATAATGCATCCATACTTATACTTGTTTCTTGCAATCACCAGTTGATTGAGTTGCAGGACCATTGGATTGTTGTGTTGCACAAGCAGTCCTTTTTGTCTTCCTTCATGAAGGAGAAAGGACATATCCAGATTTGTCTCGACCTAAAGCCTYGTCAACAGCATCAACCTCTGTACCAACAGATACATCTGTTCATGCTATTATCATCCAGAGCAATCTCTCCAAGAGCCTTCTCCAAAGTCATTGTCAGGACATCATTGATAATCTTGATGACATGCTTGTTGTAAGCAATACCTGGGCACTAAAATAGATCTTTCAGGGCAAGAACAAGTTGATCTGGTGAAGAAGTTAGTACCTTAATTATCTGTGACTAGTACTTGAAATGGAAGTTTGTCTTCAAGTAAAGATCCAATTTTGATCTAACCTTGTCCTTTTCATAATGCTACTAATAAAGCATCCACCAGCTGTTGTGTCTAATATAGCGAGTGACTAAAGTGTTCGTAGTCAACCCTGAATGAACCAAGCTGTTCACCACAACCAGCYGTGGTAGCAAATGCTTCTTGTTAACTGGCTTGCCACTGCCTTCTTGATATAAGACTGAATTAGTAATCACAGTGACTTGAATCTTTTGGGGATCAACACAGCCTTTTGTTCTGCTGATTGTCATCCTTGGTGGTCCAGGGATTGGTGTGACACAAACAAGTGTGTCAAGTAGGATAGCAAGGATTGGGTTTTCCTCACTACTAAAAGTAGATGGACTGTCATCTTGATCTGGTGGATTGTCATCTAGAGGAACCTTACCAGCATTTATTACAAGGGCAGGGAGGAATTCACCATCAGAAGAGGTAGGGTTTAGAATGTTTGACTTGTTCTCAACCAGAAGGGTATGTTCCTCAAGTATGTTTTTTCAGCAAGTTTTACCCCAGCAGAAGAAAGATTTTCTATCTTCTCCTTCACAAATTCAAGATCCTCATACTAGGTTGAATTKATCCTMAGACTGGTCTTGGTCTCAATGCACCAGTAAGCTGCATTGGCTTTGGGCCATTATGGTCTCTTGGAAGTATTCCCTGACTTATCAAATGTAATCCTGATTATCACAAACCTTTATTTTGCTGTCTGTAGGATATCAGATCATGGGTATGATTCATACATATGACAYATGCATATGAAATGTATCTATGATTCATACACACCACCATACATATATGACTCACTCAATCATATGGATTCATATGATTGACATTACTTAGTTGATTAACTAGTGTGAGTGACTGGACTCATTTGATTCACACATCACTTGATCTTCATTCTGATTGGTCTTAGATTTCATAGTTCATTGATCCTCGATAAGAGCATCAACTCACTTTTCTTCTAGCACACGATTTACATCACTATTAGATAGTCACTCCCACAGGTTATGACACCCTTCCAATAAAAATTATCACCACCATGGTGATCTTTTTTTAGGTGTGATCTCTCATTAACAAATGACTCTACCAACATTCACACACCTTTGAACAACAAGCGTCATTGCACATACAACAATAACGTCGAACACACACCATCGCTATTGCGTGACACAAGAAATGAAACATCTGTTTCACAATGAAAGTATAAGAGGATAGACATCTGTTGAATAGCCTTCTTTGGTGAATTTGTGATACTGTTTCTTGCTTTGGCGTCACCTTTCTTGGTCGTATTGGGAGAGGACTCTGGTAATGCTGGCTTACTTTTGCTGATACTCAATTGCGTGCAGTCATTGTCATCAGCAACTGGCAGGAATCTCTTAGGAAAGGAGAGAAGCAAAGATCTCATTGTGCACCTTGTAATGTTGCAAGTACTGTGGCGTACTCCTCATTGTCTATGGCTGGGGGGGAGGGTAGCACAGTAGTACTTCAGACTGTCCTCTTCTTGATCACTGAGCATTCCTCATGCTTTTGCAACCAGGATCAAAGACTTCAACTGGAGCTATTGCTGGATCTTCCAACCAGTCACATTGATACTGTATGAGTGTTCCAGTTTGCAGTTATGTTGATTGATAGTAGTACTTCTTCTTTTATGTGATGTAAGTATCATGATACTGTACTTCCTTTTTCAGTAAACTAGAAATTAACTTGCAGATTCCCTACTACTATTCCTCTATGTAGTGTGATTCAGATTCCCTACTAGAAAGTACTGTGAATAAAAAATAATCAGTCCCATGCACACTAATTAGTACAGAAATTGGCATTCACATACTGCTACTACTACTAGTAMTAGTAATAGTAGGAGAAATTCAAGTTTTCTCAATGGATTACTAGTATGCATCCTCCTCGTCCTACTACTACTAATGACTTTCCATTACATTTTTAGGAGGAAGAAGAATTGACACCAGCAGATGCATATTTTTTATCAAATTTAATCAAATTAGTCATAACACCACTGGTGTTGTTTTGAGCATGAATTTGGCAAGTGATAACAGTATTACTACTACTAGTACTAATGGCGCTTGCTAAGAAATATACTACTTCGTACTTCATTACAAGACCTCATGAAATATCTACTTCTATTTGCCAAATCACGAATAGATTGTCTWAACACGTAATATTTCTGCTAAAGAGCATACGTAAATGTTGGATTTGATGTTGGATATGATGTTGGAGGATAACATACACTTTGATTGGCACTCAACGGAACAGAACGGGTACATTGGTTTGCGTAGTCGTGTCGTATTGCGTAAAAAATTACTAGTGAATGAATTGAGTTATACGACTCACACAGAACGTAAATTAATTCGCGCATGAATTCATAATTCCGATCCAATCTGCGTGAATCTTCTCGAAATTTCCTCTAAGTGGCGATTTATATMGATATTCATTCTTATATATGACATAAATGAAGCCCCGTGGAAATCWASCTGATACCACAAGTCTCATTTTTCTGCTTTCATCGCTAATTTCTTTCGAGGAAAAAATCTCAGATCACTGGAAGGAGTCTCATCACCTTGCACGACCTTGCAGCATTWAAACGCAAGAAATCAAAATCCTCACACCTTAGCGTTATAAAAGTCGAACAAAAACACTGCCACCGAAAGASCACAAWAATTATTTCATCATGTTTTCTCGGCTCGCTGTACTTGCTCTCACTTGCGTCTTGGCCCAGGCCAACGTGATCAACCACTCCAATGGTGATATCCCCATGAACAGTAAGGCCGGACGCAAGTTGGTCCAGAATGCTCGTCGAGCTCAGAACAATTACAATTACGGAAACGGACAGCAACAATATGGTAACAATGGCGAAGAAGTCAACTGGGATGAAATTGATACCGCCTATCTTGCCAATTAYAGTGTCAAGTTCCAGGGATGCCACCATGTCCAGCAGTGGAATGACAACGCTSMAGATGCGGATGACATCAAGATCATGACCCAGCGTCTTGTTCGATTCCGCATGTGTCCCGCAGAAACTTGTACTTCTRCCACCACCAAAGGTTGTGATTCCAACTACGGAGATTACATCATCGATATGGAAACTTACGTTAACGCTTACATGTCCAACATTCAAAACCAGTACRTGAACAACGGGCAGAASAACGGTTACTACGGAAACCGTAAACTTGATGATAGATACAACGTCAACTTTGAAGACTACTTGCAGTGCAGCCAAATGGATATGAATAACAACCAACGTGCACGTGCTCGTCAACTTAGAGAGTTGAACAACCAGTACTACAGCAGCGGCCAGTACTACCAATACCAAAACCAAGACAACGATGTTCAGTACTACGTTGGACCATACTGTGCTCAGCAGGGAGGAGAAATCCGTCTTGGTGTCTTCTACGACGATACCTGCACTGTCGCCGCCTCTGAAGGTCCTGAGATCTTCAAGATGATGCATAACGGTATGTCCTTGCCTTATTCCGAGTCGTCTATGGTCAGCCTCCAGTGTATGAGCTGTGGAATGTACGGTGAAGTCAACGAAATGTGCGAAAGTGTTTACSAAGATGCCGGAAAGTGCGAAACCAAGATGAGTGTGTACTACCCCAACGAGTCGGCCTGTTCTTATCTCGAAGGAATCAAGGTCATYCGAGACGATGGTGTTATCCGAACTTCGTCCACAAGAAAGTCCACAGCCGCTGCGATCGCCACTGGAGTGTTCCTTTCTGCAGCTCTCCTCCTTTCCGGTTACGTCTACTACTTGCGAACAAAGCTTGGACGTGCTCGAATCAACCTTGCTGCTTCCTCGCAAAACGCTGGATTGTAAATAACAAACCGTCTCATATGGAAAGAGGATGTCCTGGGAGTCAACCTTGCGGCTCTCCCCTTCGTATGATTTCATCGTCATACATACAAYCAGGGCTACATGAAGTTATATTTTTACCAATATTTTCTTCGAATGTTGGGATCCAATACGTGTTCAGTGTAAAACTTTTTAATTATTTTGTAAGACCAATTATACCAACTCTTGCTATTGCTCTAATTTCCCTTGTAAGGGTTTCGTACTAGCGAGTCAAAGTCATCGTTCTACGTTCTCATCGAAGTCACCACACAACTAATACACAAATCATAGCATAATTCCATTTAATTGTTACAACACCCCAATGTAATACCACTAACTGTGGGGCAACACTCCCCTCTTAAATTGAGTTCGGCGCAACCTGRATTGTTCTCGCAAGATGAGATAGGAGATGATGTTGATTGCGACGATGGTATGGTATCACTGCCGCCAATGCTTTGTTCGGCATCTAGAGTCACATTGAACCCTGGCTGTTGGCTAATGAAGTACAAAACTTGGCTTTTGCTCAAAGCGGAATCTAACTGATTGCTCATGAGTGAATTAGCATCCTCCCATGCCTTGTTCGGATCAATGATTGAATGAATCGATACAGTGTACCCTCGCCAGGCCATTTCTACACCTCCTCGACCATTCATCAAAAAAGGATACTCGTGATTAACAAAATCTGCCTCAAAAAGTAGGTTCGATGCAGCTGTGATTGGAATGGCATTGATCATATGAACATAGAGTGGGTCGTTACCAAACCATGTATTTGAGTTGACGTCCAACATGCCAAGATTTCCTACCATGTAATTTTCCTCGAATTTGGAAGGATACAAATGTAAATATAGGTCGGTACTATTATCCATGGCGCTTGGYGGAAGCATGTGCCAATAGGTTTTCGCACTTCGAATTTCTGTTGAGAGCAACAGCTGTGAAAAGCCGGTGACTTCTGAATCTATTTCTTTGTGTCTTACCAATGACCACAAATAGGCTCCATAATAGCAATTTATTGCCTCACTCGAACTTTCTTGTGATTTGCCGTTCGCAAATGGAAACAATCCCGTCGCAAATGAGTGGCCATCAAACCATGACTTATGTCTGGACATCGGAAAAAATGTGCTTTGGAGCTYAGCACCTCGAGAGCTCCCATTGGAGGAGTAAGCAATGTCGTGGAATATTGCATCCACATGCGATCCAAATCGATCGATAAAGGATGGGTCGATCCTCGCCATGACTGCGGATGCGTACAAAAAGTATCCGTAGTGAAAGTGGTGATCTTTATTGAAAAATAGCAACATTGAGGAGTTAAGATCATACAACGTTTTAGTTCGGGATAGGAAAGTCCGAGAAATGCACAGAAATAAACTCACCGTTGTATCTTCCATTTCCAAAGTCCTCACCAGTATCAAGTAGGCCGTCTTTCGAACAAAGTCCTCCAATATTGGTATCGAAGAGAAGACTATCACTCACATCCGATGATAAGTACTTCTCAAGATACTTCGACAGCTGTATCGTCGCTTGGCTCAAAACACTAGTATCATCCTTCCCATCGGTAACATTTCTGRCTTGATCGTTTTTCGTTTCGTACTGATCCGCGATATGGGCTAGCTGTGCCAGCCTAGCGACCTGTTTCCCATAACCGTAAACATTTTCATTAGGATTTGGTAAGACTTGTTTCAAGTCATCCTGAACCTGCTGCAAAATTAAGCTTTTGATGTTGTCATCTACCTTCTGGATAGGTGCATCGAATTTCATATCATAGAGTGGCTCATCGAAGGTCCAGGTGGAACCAAGTATTGGAGTCATAGGCCCTTTTATGCATTTGTAATTGATGTCAAAATTCTCGTCCTCTAATTTGTCAGACTCAGATATTACCTCGGCATGATGCGGCAAGGCTAGCATCAGCAAATTTTTCGTGGTTTGACCTGTAAGGGTATCGCTTCGCATGGAACGCGTCTCAAACTTAAATGTTATGGTAGCATGATTTTTCGCTGCATCAACCCCATGCTCAGAGCCCGACAATGAAGACAACGAAGACCCTGATCGATGCAGTTCATACGAAAGATCTCCTCCTATTGGATATATATCCGAGTGATAAGTAAGGCGTTTTATTGCTGTCGAAGTTTTGACGCTCTTCTCGTCGTCGGTTTTGGGAATATATGCTAGCCTTATCACTCCAGTGATAGGAGCAGCGGTGGATATCGTAGTCATCGTAAGCTTGTCGAATACCAAATTGATGGGTTCAGATGCGAACATGAACCAACTGACACCTTCAGGTGTTTTAAATACAAACTGAACCCCGCGCATAGTTGTTCGCTTTGTATCGCTCCTCTATAAGTTTCAAAGAGATAAKCAAAGGATATCAACAAAAGAATTGTTAGATGATCATGGTGTCACTGAACACAGAAATTGTTAATTRCGTTTGTACAATTATCGACAACACAAMCGTGAAAAGAGAGCGCGAGAACGAGAGGTTCCATGTTGCGCATTAATTCCGGTCTTACATCAATGCTGCAGACACCAAATAGCTTTCGACTGTCACTATCTTCGTTCTCTTCTACGAAGGAAGCAAAATCCTCGACGTCGTCTCCCGGGCACTGWACATCGCTGAAAATACTTAGCGGTGTAAAGACAGGAGTCTGTTTCGTGTACACAATCGTTATGTARGGACTTCCTTGTACTAAAGATGTCTCCCATTTGCTATTGCCCGACGAAAGAAATTCCAAGGATACACTCAGTGGGTCGTAATCCACAATGTGGCGTTTCGTAATCTCTTCGTGGGTCGTTAAGGTTAATTCGGGAAGAAACGCATCTACAACCGATTTGCTATCTTTCAATCGATGAGCAGCTGGATACGATACTCTTAGCGATGATGGAGACCATCGGTATGCGAAGGGGTAGACAGCGATAGGATACGACATTTTGTTTCCCTGGGGAGGATCTACCACAAGATTTGTCCAAAAAGCTCCGGTGGGGAACGGAAATGAAAAAGACTGAGAATGCTGAGGTTGACCACTTTCGCCATCATTGCTTAATGCCGATACAACTGCACCGCCATCACGAACCAAGTGTGGCGCAAAGAGGTTTGTATCAATGAAGCCTTCCACCGGATCGCCGTAGTCGCCGCGGTCCACCGTGGGAAAGGGCATGACAAAGGATTGTGACAAAATCGAAACATTGTTCTGCTTTGTTGGGATGAGAAGAGCCACAGCGACTGCGAAAGCTCCCGTGGTTAACACRAAGGTCAGAATGGGATTGAGTGGTAAGAATTTCCTGGATGAACTTTTTGCTGATGATGGAGTGGCAGAGTGGTTCGTTCGCTGAGTAACTCCATTGCCATCAATGAATGATTCTCGTTGGTATGTTCTATCGTCGCCATTGGTTTGAATATCGCATTCATTATCTGTGGAAATCAGCTCTTCTCCTACTAGCGAGTCCTGTTCATCCGTATGGACGCTTGATGGGGGTGTCACCGAAGTTGCTGTGCTCCCATAGAAATAATTGAACTGAGGTCGCGCGGAACGTTTGTACGGAGCAGTAAATGGTTCACTCTCTTCACTATTTTGTTCCATTCTCTTACAGTACTTTTTTCTCCTTCTTTGTCCGTCGAACTCTTTTGCTCACGAGTTTTCACTGTTCAATGGGTAACTCCTTTGTTTCTGTTGCAATCTGTAATATTCAGGCTTACAAGCGTATTGTCATTCTTCTATGAAGCGTTTCAACAATATGATACAGTTGCAAGTCCGACGATGRTTCGATTCGATTCTTGAGTCATGCAATCGGGTAGATTTTTCAGTGACGCTTGCTATTAGCATGCGAACGATTAATTTTTCCCTCGTTTCGGCCGGGTTGCACTAATCGGAGTATCCGCAATTCAAAGCCTGGATATCGTACTGATCGTACGTACGAGAACTACCATCTTGTTCTCAGTACTGTACTGTACGGGAGGGTACGGTACTTCTTACTTCCTTATTGAACTTGTAACAGTCCAGAGTCAAGTTCTGTACGTACTTGTACGCATCCCACCTTGTATTGTACGAACGTACGCGTGTCAATTGTACTTCTACCAGTTCTTGCCGGATGTACCGTACCATACGTATGGTGAACGTGTTCGAGTGAAATGTTGTACCGTCCGTACGAGTATTACCAACAGGGGTAGTACCGACCAGTAGGTACGAGTACCTTACTCGGACTTCTCTGTGTTCTGTATTTTGTGCCTACGAAAGAGTACGTATCGTACGTCAGGAGGTCCGTACGTACGCACCGGTCCTCGTCCAATATGATGTTACTACAATACATATGGTAAGTACCATATTAGAGAGTATTCGTACTCTGCATTCTAAGTCTAACGCACCGTACGGAACTCTTACATAGATGACCGTAGACCGTAGGGTGTAGGGTGACAGTATAGTACGTACCTTAATACCTTAAGATAGTGAAACGGGTACGGTACGTACGTATCCAAGCAGGGAGAGCTGCGAGAATGGCAAAACATCATGTCAAGGTTAAATACCTTTAGTGCTCGTACTTTACTTGGCCATCGGGTGTTGCGCTGTCGGAAGAACAGCGATTGTTATTTTTGAAACACTAAAATCCCTGTGTCCACAACAGATAGTGGCGACGGTAGCAAAGTCAGATAGAAGTCCAGAAGATCGATGAAGAACAATATGACTACTAGATTCCGATGGATAAGAACCGCATTCACGMTATTTTGTGTCTGTGACAGTGTCGAATCCTTTGGCATCAATCGGAATACCCCCAGAACACGCAGCAATCTTTTGGAACGCTCTTCGTCTAGGACGACGACGAGGCTTTGGTTGTCAGATGCAACTTTGGAATCTCCATCGTCGGATAATGRATTATCTCTATGGGAAAATATGGCAAACAAGATCCATTCGAATGCTGATTTGTCGAACAATTTCGAAGAAACAAAATCCTATACCAACACGGTTTCACTACTCCGAGTTGGGATTCCGTCTCTCTTTTTCGCATTCTCAGCAAAAATTTCCTACCCATTTATTGCGATCGCACTGGCAAACGCAATTGACGATTCAGGAGTATTTGCTGTTGTATCCCAAGATGCTAGCCAGTATATCCAAAACATACTCACCACCTCGGGCCTGACGTTTTCAATTTTGGTGGGACAAACGTATTATTTTATGTATCAAGTACGTAAGCTTGGTAGATTGCAACAGGTGACGRAGTAGTATGGCTTGCACGTGATGTCGATTCGTAATTTCTATAACTTGGAAGAAGGCATCGACGAGATCCGCAATACTTGTACGCTTTTTCGAAATGGTACAAACCCTGTCTATTCATTTCCTTATACTAATGGTTCTTATTTTCTTTCCTTTCCATAAAACCAACAAATAAATCTCAAAGCAACAAGAGGCAATTTATCTAGCCMTCTTTGAAGAAGTAACAATGGCAAAATCGTTGCTGGAACAGGTTGCTCTTGTATCACAGGGCCGAGAGAGGCTCTACAAAGAGATCCTGGCGTGTATACAAGACTATGTACGCAACGATTTGACCAAATTCAATGACATTGAACCGTCGGAATTGATATCGAACCGCCCCGTGGACGATCCACTGGAACAAATCTTGTATCTGACAAGCGTCGGGGAGCCCTCTCTGATCTATCAAACAGTGCGTTCACTTCGGCAAGCACGGTCGTCTCGACTTGGAGCGTTGCAACGAAAACTCCCGATGTTGCAAGTTGTTTTGTTGTGGACTCTTGCAGCCATTGTGCTGTTCACCTTTCCCCTGTTGGGTGCAGGCTCCCAAACGATTGGTGGCCTTGGAATTCTGCAGGTTCAGTCCTGGTACCTTGGATTCATTGTATTAGGAATATCTATTACCATGGGAGTTGTAGAGGAGTTGAGGCGACCCGCACAGGTTGGTGCCTACAACGCCCAGGCGGTCCTCAATGTCATGGTCAAAGGCTTGGAGGAAGAACTCGGACAACGGTTGGACGGCACAATTCAAATGGGATCGTTTGGATCTGAAAACTGGTCCATGGATCCATCCGTTGATAGCGATGGCTACCTAGGACCCGAATAAGTTTGGAAGATGATTCATTCGTCGGGTTAAGCATAGATATACTAGTTCTCCAGTTCTTTGGCCGGAACAAGGATTAAACACGACTTTAAGTTGACCCCCCTGGGTTTTGAAATTGTATGAGTCAAGATATTGCCTTCCACCGTTCTAGTTTCATATTATTATCCAGCTTMCACTGTACTCAACAATTTGTACTTCAGTTCTTGTAATGATCAAGGCTCCCAATTCAATAGGCTGGAACAGGTCCCAAGAGCCAGRAGCCCCCTTTCATTTTACTGTATTGTACGAAGTATGGTGTTTTGTACTACAACGTACTAGTACATACCTGTAGTACGGTGCGTAGTACAGATGTACCGGTACGTACGTACGTACCGTACTGTTTTGTTCTGCATTTKTTTGCGCGCGCGACCTGCAATTAAGTTTCAACATTTGTCGCGCGATGAACTCGATCTTGAGGACACWAAACGTCGTGACATCTGGGGAGAACGAGTACTCGTACTCGTACTTACCTACGGTATGACCACTACAACACGACATCATCACCATCAATCGAGAAAACTGGATCCAATCCAATTTTTTTTGCTACGCACTGTCCCACGGTTAGATTGAGTCTCATACTACTGTAGGATACCGGTGCTCGTACTCGACGTAACGGTATCGATGGTGCTAATACGAACGAGAATACTCTCGCACAAGTTTGAAAAAATCAAATAGTCACAAAGTCCTGCTATATTAAGATGACTGATTCATCCCATTGTTACGATCCTTCGCTCGACGAAGCAGTACGATTCGACCCSACATCTGTAGGCCTTCCCGAGGGTTGGTCGTTGACAGAATTTTCGACCCTCAAGGGATGAGCCTGCAAGATCCCCCAGGACGAACTCCAGGAGATGCTCTCTTCGTTGTCTCTAGGAGGTGCGTGTTGTGTTTTTAATTGTGCTGTGAAMTCCGATGCAATTGCCTGATCCATGCTGCTATGGGACCATATGATAAACGTCTTACCTATTAACTTTTTGACGCGGGTCACACACACTCAATTGGCACATTTGCATTGGTTCTTGATTTCCGGTACGTTACCATCGACGACAACTACAATTTCATACCATGTGCAGATGGGAACAACCTGGGCACGGCGGACGGTCGGATCGCACTCGATTGTTCCATCCGTGAAACCCGCCAGGGTGGCCACTATATTATTAGTACTACCGATTTCTTTTTTCCCCTGGTGGACTCCCCCTACTTGCAAGGTCGGATTGGGGCYGCGAACGTCTTGTCCGATCTATACGCGGAGGGTGTCCAGCACTGCGATTTCGTTCTCATGTTGCTGGCGGCCTCGCGGGACATGACTCCGGAGCAGCGAACCATTTGCACGAATCTGATGGTACGCGGATTCCGCGACGCCTGCACGGAGGCTGAGACTACCGTGACGGGTGGCCAAACCGTGCTGAATCCCTGGCCCATCATCGGGGGTGTTGCGACCTCCGTTGTGACGCGRGACGAATACGTGAGTTCCGACGGAGCTCGAATCGGGGACGTACTGGTGCTGACCAAACCCCTGGGAACCCAGGTTGCCGTCAATGTGCACGAATGGAGAAAGAAACACCAAAAACACGGCCACGACAGGTTTTGGGACAAGATCCTGGAAAATGACAACGGAACAAATGGTGAGTCCTTGCTGACGGATTCAGAAGCCGAGGAAATGATGCACAAAGCGGTTCGATCMATGTCCAAGCTCAATCGTCTCGCGTCGAAGATCATGACGAAACACAACGCCCATGCCGCTACCGACGTTACCGGTTTTGGAATTTTGGGGCACGCACAAAACCTCATGGACAACCAGATCGCCGAATGCGGTGTCGAACTCCATACGCTGCCTTGCATCGCAAACACACTGAAAGTAAACGACGAGATCCTGAATTTCCGACTGAGAGCAGGTTATTCAGCCGAAACCAGCGGTGGCTTGATGATTTCTATGACAGAATCGGATGCTATAGCGTATTGCACAGAACTGAGACAGCTTGAAAAGGATTCCTACAATTACAATAGCAATGGCGAAGACTTGGACTTTGGTCCTTGGATTATTGGTAGAGTGACAGAGGACCCCAATCGAAAGGCAATTATCACCGAAGATGTGGAGTATCTCGAAGTGTAATGAAAGAACTGCTGGGTGAATCATAGGGATACATCGGTTCATTCCTTAGGTGACACGAGAACCAAGATAGAACACCTTTGCGTTAGCTCTCGTCAAACGTAGATCGATAAATGTCCGTCGAATCAATTGCACGAAACGTCGAATGACAAACCGGGAGTTACGTCTATAATTTCAAACGAGATTTCGCGACGTTCTCGGTTTTGAAAAGACTGTTGAAGAGCTTGAGCTTCGATGGGCAGACTAGTAGGGGCTATGGTAATAGTAGTATTGTAGTGCATGGCATGCAGCTCGTTCGTCGCCGATTGATCCCTTTTTGCGAGCACAGCTGTAATTACTTCAAAGCATAATATGTAAGGGCAACGTATTTGACTACTGACTTTGTGATTAATTGTCTCGTCCATTGTGGGAGATAAAAATAGGTAATATTTTTGTAGCATTTCTGTTGATACCCTAGTTGTGCTGGTGCATGTTGCTGTTGATGAAGTGGACAACCGTTACCCTCAGGTTGGGAACCTCACATTCCATCTCAACTCTGAAGTATGGTTCTGTACCCTGGTATCTTGTTTTTCCATCCATTGCATTGAGGAGTTTCTTTATATTGCCTAAAAGTAGTTTCTGCTGTTCTTGTACATCCTAGCTKGTGCACAAAGCATCTTTTCCTACTAGGGGAAGCAAGGTACTACCTCTGTTCCTAAATATTGGTGCAGTTTGCACCTCTTGGGTTGGTTTAAGCTCAATATTTGTGCAATTTCACTGCTTCTTTTTTTATTATGCTGATCTTGTTTAATACTTTCTGAATGTATTATGACTTATAATGTTGTACCAGCAACAATAATGGAATAAGCCTTCAAAAAAGCTTATTTTTTCTTATCAATATGAAAATACCGTCAGTTGAGTTCTACTGGTCATTTTGATAAGCCACCACTTGCACATGATAGCTAAGAGTGATACATTTTTGAGGCTGTAATTCTCTTCAATAYGGAGAACTTTCTTGTATCAGTCATTCTTGTTCAAAAGAGGTGCCCGTTACCATTGTCAATGCAAACTTTAGTTCCCCATGTTAATACAAAKTATTTTCATGTGTAAAAATCAAAATAATTTTTATTCAGGYGCATGCACATTTTTAGTCCTCAGGACTTGCACRAAATAATGYGTACTGAATTGTTTTAGTACTAGTAGTAGTAGTAGTATTTAGATTGTATCTAAATTAGGATTKTGAGACTAAAACTAATGAAATAGACTGAATCCACCTCTCACGTGCTTTCCCGTGTTATACTGGATTCAGTGAGKTATGATTGAGTTCRATYGATAGTAGAAATATACATCCAAGCAGTACAAGTCAAGTGTGTGCTACTTTCCTCAGTTCTTGGATGGTGTAGAACTTAGTACTGCTTGTACTGAGTGACTTTAGARCAGAACTCCCAATCKATTAGTTCTGTTCTGAATTCTAATTCTCGTTCTGAGAATTAGTAGAGAGGAAGTATATACATATAGTTATATACTGATCTGTATATATTAGTATGTTGATGCTTTGATATATATATATATATATATATATATATATATATACATATAGTGCTCGTGATCTTACTAGTATAGTACTAGTAGTACTATATAGTTTCCAGTCGTTATATATATATAGTTTTGGGTCCCGGGGACTCATGATTGGATCCACGAGTGATCCTCCATACTGTTTCTACGGTACTCGTTGCAGTACTGATTCTACATGTTCTACACAGTCATACACAGTCATTTGTAGAATTCAACCGCCTGCAATTCCAAAATCTGTTAAGTAAATACTGCACCATTATTTTGGAAAAAACTTAGATTTAGGAACAGAGGTAGTAGTAGTAGGTGTTTTCTGCATTGACCCTCTTCTAATCCACAAGGTGATATAAAATATTAAGCTTTTCTTCATTTTCTTCAGATTTGAGATTTTGTCATTGGTGGGGTTTTTGACTCCTCATCATTGTCATCTGTCATCTAATACCATTAAAAAWATTGAATTGAATTGCATTGTTGCCAAGAGCCCTAGGAGAAATTGCATTAGCAGCCTATCCACAGTCTGCAGTGAAATTGCTAATTTCTTCAGGCTGAACAGCTGATTCATACAACAACTAATTTTTGAATATTTTGATGTCCAAAGATTTTCATAACTAGCTTGATCAATACTTTTATCTTTCCAGGCAGCAGTGGGGGTCATAATTTTCACATTGTGTTCACGATCAGCAGTATCTACTACTACATGCAATTGTGTCTACATCCAGGGTGGTGGGCAAGTGTTTATGATCCTCATCAGAATTGCCATCTGGGCTCAGGGCAGGATTGAATTTATCAAGTCTGAATATATCTCATTTATTGCCTTACCATGAACAAACTACTATTAATTGTCATTAATTATGTTCAACTTGCTTGAAAGGACTACTAATGATTAAAACATTTTTAAAAAACCTCAAGTTTTATACATTATAGTTAAAGTTTAACTATCATGTGAACTGGAAGAGGCACTATACTAACAGCCAGGACCACTACTGGAAGAGGCACTATAACAGCCAGCAGGACCATATCTTCTGAGCAGAAGAATGTTCTTACTTGGTCTGAGGGGCAACACCTACATCCAAGAAGGAGTTTTGGTGAAGGCACAATCATAAATGATGCATCAAAAAATCAAATGCTAGTAGTGGTATCTCATCACCAATGAKCATCTAGTAGTAGTAATCAAAACATGCTGGAGGAGTCCTTTCAACAYGCTGATCCAGAAGATAAGGAGAAGWACTTATTCCTGCCTCATTGTTTTGGTTGGCACCATATGTTTTTAGGGTCTTGTTCAGTTTTTCCCTCCTTCTTTTAATATGACAGCAAGAACTTTAACAACAATGTACCCTTACAGTTTCTTGTTACTAGTAGGTAAGGCCATTATGTTTGTCTATTACACTATTGCGTTTATGTTTCTCAACCACCTTGCCTACTACTATACCTGTAGTATTTTGTAGCAGAAGAAAGAAAAATACTAGTGGTTTTCCTTCCATCACAACCAGCATCATCATCATTCTTGCAGGAGGTGCCAGCAGGAATTACTACTGGTGGTAGTAATAGTAGTACCAAGTAATAGTAAAAAAATACTATAACAGCATCATGATCTTGACAATCATCTYCCTGATCTCTCACCCATGAGTTGAGGAGGACTGCAAGTTGAGATGATCCAAAAAAATCTTAATATTATATTTAACTTCGTGAAGTTGAAGAGGCACTATGTTGGCCAGAACTATAGCTTCACCTGACAATGGAGAAGAATGCTCCTAGCTACTCTAAGGGGTAGCACCTCCCTCCAAGGAGTTTTGTAGAGGCACAACCAGGTTCTACTATGCATACTGACAAGCCAATTAAAGCAGCGTGGGACAATTTGACAAAGTAGAGGGAAGGAAAATCTGACTTTGGGTTGTAGATTTTGTAAAATCTCTCAACAACAAGGCTAATGTGTTGAAAGTTCCAAATAACATTGTGCATGGGCACTACTACTAGGTATCATCCTACGCTTCATGCTTTGTGGATGCCCTGATTTCAGTGTAACCAGTAGCAAAAGATGCTGTGACAAGGTGGGGTTGAGAACAAGAAACTTCAACAACAATGGCTGCCTAATTTGGAATAAAGTGAGTGGTCCAATCCAAAAAAGGAATGGTGTCATCTCACCAAACCTACTATAMTCAAGAAAAATTGGTGTTGGTGGCTTCATGTGCATATTTCTTTGCTACATATTGTGTGCTTATCTGGAACTGACCACTTCAGCAGACAATGAGAGTTACAACAACATTGATAGACCCAAGATCAAGCACAGACCTCTGACAAAGATTGGATGCAACAGGTTGCATGTATTCAAGGAAAAAATGGAACACACTAACTCCTTTGGTTAGGAAGCTGATTAAACAATGTACCCATTGGGGGGGGAACTGGTTACCGCCCCAMGCTTTCAGAGGTAAGGTGGGGTCACTCTGATTTCCRAAAAGATGAATTAGAATACMTTGKCGTCACATRGGGCATAGATGGATGAAAAATTTTGACTGCTTATCATTTATGGAGGGTAATGACAGGAAGGGAGTGCATATACATGAATGAATTTGAAAAACAAAGACMCTGGTATTGACACGATGAATACAGAAAATCTTGACATGAATCCTAAACAATATAGAGAGAACAAGACCATGACCTGGGAGGTGTTTATGGAATCGAGAAGACGTTTATCCAAGAAAAGAAAACTGGATTTCTATTCCTCAAGTACCATTTGGCACACAGACATTGCTCTGGCCGGCAAGGACAAACAAGTGGTCATCAAAAGGGCAAGACAACCCCTACTTACTATGGACTAAGCTGAAAGGTAATTAGATGACCAAAATAGATTACTTGATTGTGCAAATGTAATACATTGACCATTAGGCTAATTAACAATGGGTTTGACAGACTACTAGCAATTTGGAATCACTTAGGTTTTGACCTAGCTGTATGCCAATTTAGTSGGAGTGGATTAATTGTTGTGAGCATACCTTGTTCCCCTAATGCAATATGCAGGTAATGACAGGAAATTGCAACTATGGTGAGACCAACATAACTGGAAACACCATTCTCTGTTGAAAAAACTTTGGACTGCAACAGTACCAAGGGGCAGTTGTTGAGATGAGAAAAATCTCTCATGAACATAGTTCTTCATAGTAGTAGGCAGTGAATCATGTTCAGTTTTGCAACAGTATTGTTGCAAAGACCAGTTGTCCACCAAAAGTGAAGATGGCATTCCTCTCAGTTTCACTGATACCCTGTTTTGGTTAAAAACCTTGCCAGCAGCTAATTGACACCAGGATAGCAAAATTGACTAGCAATAGGAATTTTTTGGATGGAGAAACATGTTCCATTTCAACAAAATATTGCAAAAACTGGGTGTCCACCAAATATTTCTTGTCGTTCTTCCAGAAATCAATAAACGGCAGCATAGTAACCTTTGTTGTGGATGTCAAAGCCCCTGTCTGAGTGGGTACTGATTGGTCTGTAGATGTCAAGAAAAGACAGTATCTGGCAAAGATAGCGCTTTAGAACAGGACTAGACTACTGTTAGCATCAACAGGATAAACACCCCTTTTGTTAGTGGAAGATTGAGCACAAAATATGCCAATTCAAACAACAAGATGCATTCTTGTCCAAAATCAGATTTGACAGAGGGGTGTACACAGAATAAATGTTTTTCATTTGTTGCTGATGATTCCACTTGCTTGTGTTCACCAGTGAATCCTTTCAACCCCTTTGTGACAACTGCTTCCACCAGCACATTGTTTGCACAAAAATCAATTATCTCTGTTYGTAAGCAAGGGAGAATTTCTCTGTTGGTTGTCCTTTGCATCCCATCTCATGTATGGCAAACCTGTATTAYATCTTTTTCCAATTGTGAACAAAGATCCACCTCTGGGTTTAGGAGACTGCAGATTTTTTACCCGATTGTAATAGTCAAACTCAAGATGAAATTGGTCTATTGTGTGGTATTTGATGWGACGCTTGGCAGTTTATTTGATGACCAAGATGTTTGTGAAGTTCTTTTGGCGCAGGGGGGGGGGGGCTTTCACGAGGAGGACCTCAGTATTCTTGTGGTGGTTGCTGCCTCTTGGTGCTCCAAGAAGAGTACTACTACTAGTAGTCCCATCCAGAAGGAGGGCTGTGTAGCTGGATGTAAGTTGCATTTGGCTTGACTATAGTAGGACATGTAACCGTGAAAATGGTTTAAGTGACATAGTAGTATCGTACTATTACTATACAACAGTACTACTACTAGTAGTAGTACTATAGTCCTACTATTAGACAGCAGCAGTAGTAGTACTAATACTACTACGTCATGCGACTAAAATATTCATTTCCCGTGCGTGCGGTATTACTGCATGTCCAAAAACTTCGTAGCGTTCGGTGCGTACGATATCCTCGTACTCTGTCAAGAAAGCGAGGGGATAAGGAAACGCGCCAGTTTTTGTGCATGTTATCCTCAAATTCTCCGCCTAATGATGGTATGTCCTTTGAAATGGGCCCATATCAACGCCCTAAGTAAATTGTAGAATTACTGATTCAAACGCTTTTTCGGGAGGCTGCACGACTTTTTTATCACATCCATATTGAACAGAGTTGCCCTAGAAACAATATTTCTTAACATTTTCATATACCTACCAACGTTCCGCCGTCACGACGTCACAACATCATGCGAAATTTGCATTCAAATCACTAGAATACAAATTTCAACCTGCGAACAAATACGTATCGTACTCTTCATTATTGAAGATTGATTTGCGTTCTGTAGTCATATTGACGTAGAACTTGAACCGTATTTGTAGTGCCAAAACGCCATGGAAGGCATTCGACTTTTGGCCCAGCASAACCGGGCAGCGCAGCTACAAGCTCATCAGCAGCAAGCCCAGGCCGCAGCATTTGCCCAGCAACGAAGCAATTCGATGGTTTGGCATCAGCAGCAGCAGCAACAACAACATGCGGGAGCTGGTAATGTAACCGCAGCTCAGATGCAGAACGGATACTCAAATTTCATGCCGTCAATGATGGCTATGCAAGCAAGCAACATGAACCAGATGCCAATGGTGGCAACCGCCAAACTAGCACCCTCCAAAAAAAATAAGCTTAGCAACTCCACTCTTGCCGTCCGAAGCACAGTTCCGAGATTCAACGTCGCAGGTGGAGTGTATACAGTAGCACAGTGGGCGCGAAAGTGTGTAGAAGACAACCTCGAATTCATTGTTAAAATTGCTCGCAGAGGTGATCCAAAAACGGACATGGCCATGCTTGCCTATGGCGATGGATGTCAGACGCTGGTGTTTTTGGACGATGCTATCAACAAGCTTCCGAAGAAGCTGTCTGAAATTCCCAAAATTCATGTTGGGGTTTCAGCTGCTCCAATCGATGATAAGAAAACCGAATCCGAACTGGCAGCATCCGGTGTCTTGCAACCCATTGATAGTTTGTGGGATCACTTGCGATACGAACAGGCAGTCGTGAACAAAGACAAGAAAGAGAAAATCATGCACATTCATACTAGCACGACGGTGTACGGTGATAGTGCCACCGGTCGCCGACGGGTGCTCCAGATCAAAACCAATGCTCCCGAAAGTCCATTTGTTGCCGACTCCTATATGAGAAACGTTGTATTCGAGCAACAAGTTCTAGCCAAATGGGATGGACAAGTGCCAGGAGCAGGCCCCGT